TTCATTTATGAAATACTCTTCTCTACTTGTTTTGGCAATTATCTAATAGATGGCAAGGTACAAGTGCTGTTTCGCATCAGTTCTTTGAAACTCAAAGCAATTCTAATGTTATATGAAAGACTAACTCAGTCTAGGAATTTAGATTCCCTGTTCCACCTGGAAAGGCACCAAAATTTGTGTATGCTGGTATACTACAGGATTTAATAATGTGTGGGTTTTTTGGGTGAAAAAAAAAAATAGAAGTGGGAAACTAATTTTATGTCCTGTCAAAGTTTGAGACATGAAGAGATTTCTATCTTAATCAGGAATTAAAAAAAACCAAACAACCAGTTTTGTTCTTAGACGCGCAAATTTCAGCAGAGCCTACATTTGCTTTAGGTATTTTAAATTTCTTTTAAAAGATAATTATAGAATTTTCTGATTTCTGAAATCTAAATTTTGTGTCAAATTCACCTTTGATCTCAGGGAAAAAAATATGTTTTGATAAACCGATGGCTTTAATTAGAAAAGCTTTTCAATAAAAATGTCCTGAAAAACTATAACTGCGATCGTTAACTTTGATATCCAAACAGAAATTTTCCAACTTAGGTATCTAAATCCTATTGCTAGAGGCTTACGTTTTCATAGCTTCGCTAGTGTATTGACATGGCGCTGCTGACCCAGCACAGGTCTCTCTTACTGACTCCTGACTGCCTTGATCACCCCCTGCTCCCGGGAGGGACACGGGGTGAGTCGGAGCTACTAGAGCTAAGACTGGGAGGACACAGATGCAGTCAAGCAAGGGGGCCCAAAGTCCTGTGAAAGGGGACTAGTTTAAAAGCATGGCACAAATCAAACCAAAAGCAACCAAGGACAACAAAGTGAAAACGCCCTTCTGCTTTCCTCCACGTCTCTGATTACAGAAGTCTTTGCTCCAATTTATTTCTCTTTGGAAACAACTTTTTACAGCTGCACATGGCAAGTACATAGCGAGCGAAGAAGAGAAGCTGGAAAGAATGATTATTAATGGATTCTGCCAAAAAAATAGGCAGGGCCAAGTCTTTCGCGGCTTAGCACAAAAACTAGCCAATCTTCGCCTGCGCAGAGGCAGCATGTCCTGCGTTGCCTTCCTGAGAAGGAAAACAGTGCAGCCACATTGCCTACTGCAGCAACCCGGGCTGGACCCCGAGGAAACGTGCAGCACCCCCCACCTTCTACTTGTGAATCTGGTCAAGTCCACACACATTAAGAGAGAGCATTTGCCCAAGTCATTGTTAGTTAAACCCAAGCGATTCCATTCAGCTATCTGCGTTTTATTTTAAATATTTATATCTCCAACCATTTTCCATGATCTTGGACAACCAAGTGTTTCCATGCAGCGAGTGTAGTCAAAGGCAACGTGTCATGTGGGTGCCTGCCCTGGAGGGCACAGGTTTACCGGGGGCTCAGGGGACTGTAGTGACATCACACATGAGGTCATATCTAGCTGACTGCCTAGGTCAGACCCGGGTGGATGTGCTAGGCAGGTGAATATGCTAAGAGGGACAAATCCACATCTTGCCTGAACTCAGTGGTAGCTGCAAGCCATTGCCTGGGGAGAGACAAGGTGCTCCGGGGTGGACAGAGGCTCCGGGTTCCTGCCAGGTTTTTGGAAGCAGTTCCCAGCCAGCACCGCACCTTCATGTTAGCTGGTAGCTCTGAGACAGCCTGCTCCACAGGCCGTGCAGGAGCTCATTGTGAGCCCAGGGAGCAGCTGGTTTTGGAGGTTATTTGCCTCCATGCAAGACAGCAGGTCTAGCTGAGCTGCTGCTGGTATTCCAAATGCAGCTTTTTGCATAAAAAGTAGTAGTTTGGTACTGTTTAATTAAAAAAAAAAAAAAAAAAGTATGTATGGCATACCACTGCCACAAAAAAAAATACCCACAAAACCAGAAGCATCCACACACCATCATTCAACACTTGTATTTCCTCTTTAGAGCCTTCATCAGCAAGTCCTCTTACTCCACAGGACTGCTCAAATTTGTCCTTGCTAATACCAATCTACCAAAAGCTCAGAGGAGAAAACAAATTGGTCGCTGCAGGCAGGAGTGCTCAGTGCAGGTGCCCTGAAACAGCAGGTTTTGGAGGGTGGCAGCCAATCTCCCCTTTAATTTCTTTGTAATAAGAGTGGTTGTCACAGTTGTTAAACCCTAGCTAAAGTTAGCATCACATCTGCTGAATCCTGTAAATATGGCTGAAACCCTGATCAAACTGGCTGAACGGTTTGGCGAGCTTGCACGGGCAAAACCAAATTGGGTTTATTTTAAGTAAATTTGAAGACTAAGTTTAGCATATGGCAGACTGAAATACAGCTCCTAACATCTCTGCTTTCAAAACCAGAATTGGTAATTAAACGGAGAGCTAAGAACCACTTCAAATCTGAGGCCACAAGCTTCTAGATAAAAAGAAAACTTCCTAACTCAGAAAGCTGTTGTATCTGGATCAAACCCACAGCTGAAAGGAAGCTTTGTGTTGGTTTTATCGGGTCATAAGACAGACGTTATTACTCTCAAGAAGTCTACTTTCTCTCTTAAACTGCAGTCCTGATGACGGGCAGTCCCCAACAAGTGCTATTGCAAGGATCACCGTTTTCTTTTGTACCCGCCAAGGCTCTTATAAGCAGGCTGGCTCGCAGAGGGCTGGGTTGTATGTGGTGCTGGTCCAGGCACCACCACGCAGAGAAAAAGCTCCACTTCTGCATAGAAGTGGTACAGCAGCACCAGGGCTGCAGTGTGAACAAAGCCTGAACTCTGCAGCCAGACGCTGCTTCAGGCGAGCCCTGATCCATCAGAACTGGCTATTAGGAAACACTGTTCAATGCAGACCAAACTGGTTTTGCACAGCCAGTGGGAATTTGCAGTTTGCCATTAGTACCAGCATTTTCAGATCCGTGATAAAAATGAGCTGTTTTCTGCCTTCCCGCAACTCTTCGCCTGAGAAAGCAGCACAGCCTGCCTTTTCAGGTCTCCCTCTTACACCGGGAGCTGACCTGGTAGTTACGTTGCCAGCTGCTAGTGATAACAACCAATACTTTCCCACAGTGCACAGTATAAAGCACTCGTTTTATCCATTGACTCCTAAATTAGAAGAGCAAAATTTCCTCAGGAAACTCAGAAACAGCATGTCACCTTCCTTCCCTGAAAAGCGCAGTATGGGATACACTGTACCATACATATGGAAGTGTTTATTGCCTGTAAAATAACTACTCAGCTTTCATCAATAACCAGAAAAATTTAGTCACTGTCAACAAGGAGACTCAAGTACAGAACAACAGACAGCAGGGCTGGAAGAGGGCATCTACCCTTCCCCTGAGTCACTATCGATTATATCATTCCTGGCAGGTATTTATCTCTTCTCTCCCTAAAAATCTCCAGTGATGGAAATTCTGCAGTATCCCTCAGTCATCTACTTCATTAGCCTTACAGCTAATGAAGCTTTCCCCAGTACCTAATCTAAACCTTATTTGCTATTTCTCATTCTATGTATAACTGATGTGCAGAATAATTTATTCCTTTCCTCTTCATGGCTATTTGAAAACTGTTTACATGCCTGTTTGATCTTCTCTTCTTTAGGCTAAGCAATTGTATTTTCTCCAGTCTTCCTTCATGGGCTGTATTTCTTCTGCCTCTCGTCATTACTGCTGTTCCCAGGATGTTCCATAATCCCATATCGTATTTGAAATCGGTGAGAGTGACACAATTCACCATCTTTGTCTCAGTATTGCATTGTATGTTCTTTTGAGCATCCAATTTACTAATTTGAAATAAAATATAAATGCCAATTTAAAAATACTCATATTTTCCCTATATGCATGTCTCCCTCCTTCAAACAGGCCATCCTTTCTAACCCGCAGCGTTCAAACAGGTGTGTTTGGCTACTGATCACACAGCAGTGCCATCTTTTTTGGTCCTCTAATGTGGAATAACTCTCCAAATATTAGGTTTGCACCAGTCCTCATCCTGGCAGCAGTTCATCAGGCTTATGAATCGTAGAGCCACAAATGAAGCGAGACACTTGTCTGCTCCTAAGGCTAACTCTTCCCTCTCACATGTCCCAAGTCTGGCACCCAGATTTCTCCAGACTGTGGTTTCCAAAGCAAGCACACTGCTGAAACTACACCAAAGCATCAACCCACATGAACCAGCAATAGACCCTAACAAGAAGAAGCCCAGAATTGCTTATGTCTACAGAGAACCAAAATCCCAAGCACCTCTGGCACCCCCCCGGCATCATACCTGGCCCACTACTCACAAAGAAGCCACAGTCAGGGCTTACAACACAGTGCATTTGAGACATGAAATAATATTTGATCTGCTGGACTGCACCAGCTCTAGGTCAGCACGTTGCAGCCTATCTGAAGCACATGCTTTCTGCTTGAGCCTCTGCTGCAATGAAAAGAAAATTAAAAAGTAAACTCGCTGTTATTTCTTTCTTTCTGATTCACTATGTGTCTCAGTGGACCTTTTAATACTGTTTCTGTTCATTAGCACCAAACTCTGAACATTGCAGCCTTCACCATGCAGTTTTCAAGTGCAACATCATTTGCTTTGAGTCAGGACAACTATGAATTCGCAGTACCTGGTCAAATCCTATCTTAGGTCTCCTGACTTACTTGTGAAGTCTTAAATCCCTCTAGTGTTAGCCCTGTCCTACTGGAATGAAAAAAACCCAAAATACTGCATGTGTTAAAAGCTTGTGGATTTGGCAGAAATGTAACCTAAGGCACCTAAATCTGACATTAGGAAAGGTGTGCCACATCAGAGCATGTCAGTAAACTGGCATTGCCATTAATCCTGCTCCGGAGAAGAATAACTCCTATATTGTCACACTGCAAATCGAGACAAGAGATGGCTCTATGCCTTCTAACTGTTACAGGCCAGGGATGACACACACCAGAGACGCGTTTCCCTGTGCTGCTGCTCACACAGTGACTCTTCCCCACTCCCATCCCTCTCCCAGTGCAAACCCCATGGGCTCTGTACCTCGTCACCAGCAGGAGAGATGCTTGCACAGAAAAGGAGGCCTGGCAAGTTCAGTCCAGAATACACTTGCTGAAGTTAATTAGATTGCAATAACATTTCCCAGGTTGCACATTCCTGCAAGGAAGGAAAAAAAAAAAGAACTATTAATTGCAAAACCGAAACGTTGTGGACCACAGAGCCTGGGTATGTATCTATTATGCATTTCCTTGCGTAAGTAGAAATTCTGCGTGAGAAACTGGCAGCGTGTAAAGAGAAGCCTGCCTCCCTCTAAAGAGGAATCAGAACAGGAAAACACACTGACTGTGCTCTCCATATCAGTCCCTGACGCAAAAGGGCCCAATTTGTTCTCAAACAAATTTAAGATAATTCCCCCAACTTCAGCATAGCATAGTAAAAGCCAATATAAATGGTGAAATGAAAGCAGAAAAACCTAAAAACCTGTGTGGATGGATGTGGCAGTAAGACTGAACAGAGTTATCCACTGCTACAGTTGCTCCTCTTAAAAGAGCCATGGTTCACCGACCAGCTTTGTAGTAAGGAGGTTTCTATAGTTTAGGCTACAGAAAAATGCATGCAAAAGCTGAAACAAATCAACTAAACAAAAGTAAAACCAACCTCCTTCAACCTCTAGATGGTTTTAACAGCTAATTACAGAAATGATTTGCAGAACTTGCATTCAAGTGGGGGGGTGGGGGTGGAAGGGGAAGGGAATGGCCAGCAAGACATGACAGAGATGTGCTGCAAATAATGTCCCAGCAAAAGATACCCTTGTCCACTTGATGTATTTAATATTAAAACAACAAAATGTCTTTAACAATCCAGTCAATTTGAAATAAAATATAAGAACAGTAACCATTCAACATTTTAAGGATTTACTTCTATTTAGAGATCAAAGTCTCGGGATTCCAATCGCTCCCTGGTATGAAACCTTTGCATATACTATGTGGTGAAATGAAACCCACAAGGGGATCCTCCTATAAACTCTCTGAAGCTGGCCCCATGCACTTCAGGTTTGCATTAGTTGGTGTTGCACATCTTAACTCCTATTTTTTCCCTTGCAGAGAGTAGGACAACCCTGTGCTATGAATCCAAGTGCACAGTGGACACAAAGTCAACAGAGCAATGCAGCTGAGTAGGTTTTGGGGAGCAAACTGGCCAGCGATTAAAGTGGCATTCTGAGTGGTTTATTCTGTTTGTTTGCAGAATTAAGGATGCTTAAAAGTTGCTTTCATCTAACTTTGAAGCGCTCTCAAACTTAGACACTTTTATACAAAGACTGCCCAAGGGAAAGAAACCAAAATAAATAATCAAAAAAAATCATACAGAAAAATTAATTTTTGTTCCATAGATGCTATGGATATGTGCAAACACATACACACAGTCTCCCTTCCTTCTGAAGTTCAGTAAAAGAGGAGGGTTTTTTCCTGAGCACAGAATTTGTCCCCATCTGGTTCCATTTTTTACTATTTTCTTTTTTTGGTTTCCTTCTCTTTCATTCCAATCCATATTTATTTCCTTTTGTTTAGTCTGTACTCTTTATTCCCTTTCCTCTTTTTGCAGATTTCCTTTTTAGTTTGTTAGGGAAAGAAACATTCTTTCCCTGGTTTTCATAACGCAAGCTGGTCGAATGGGCCCGTTCAGAAATTCCCGCCCTCCTACACCCTCTCCCGCTCTTTCCCTCCTCTTTCAGTCCTGGTTGCCTGTGCTCACTCCTGGTAGCAGAGTAAAAGCGTTAGGCTTTATTTATTTAGGAAAGTGTGTCAGTTTATTTTTTAATTCAATTTCAAATACCTGGCACAAACCACTGCATGGAGGCTCAAATATATTATTTACGAGCCATTATATTTAGCTTAAAACAACTCCTGATCTATTTGAGATGAGCTGCTATAAGGCAGGATTAGGCTGAATTGAAAATGTCTGCAGCGGGATTTTACTAAATTGCTTTTAAATCATGTTCTTACTTAAACAGTTTCACAGTGCTCTGGTGAAGGCTATAAACCCCAATAAAGCAGAAAGGCTGATTTTGGGCAGGACTTTGGCTCTCTTTGCAAAACTTGCCAGTTTTACAGAAGCAGAGGAGGCCAGCTAAGGCCAGAGACTTCTGCATGTAAAACTCCAAAGCTCGAAACGCGAGAGCAAGCTCTGCAAGGCTGCAGAGTGTGAGAGCCACAGAGCTGTTAACTGCTCAGAAACAGGGCCCTGCTATTCCCAAATTGCTGAGACCCTCAGCACCCTGCAGCAGAGCCAGACCCTGCATCCACCTCCCGGGCAGCAGGAGGTGAGGACTTCCCCACTCGTGCAGGCTGGTCCTGCCTGAGCCCCTGCGGTCATTTCATGTAGATGTTTTTACGCTGAGATCAGGATGAAGGCACCAGGCGGTATGAAGAGGGTAAAGAGCAGTGCAACTCAGTCTGTTTTTCTACAGAATCAGAGAAATATTTTTTAAAAAGATTTGAGAAGAAGTATGGACAGTTTTAGGAATATTTGCCTGACACTCAAACCTCTGATTTTTAATGTCTGGCACGCCATTGGTGCAGCACCCCCAACAGCTGCATTTTGTGCTAGATCACTGCCATTACCACTGTCCAAGCCCCTCCGCCTCACGAGCTGTGACCTTGCCTAGCGAGCAAGGGAGTCTCTGCACAGAGCAAGCACCTTTGCCTTCAGCCGCCACTACCTGAGCAGGCTGCAGAGCGTCACCTCCTCTTCCCCCCACGCTCTCCCAGCACCACGTGCGCCCCACGCTGGGATTTAGTTTTAGTTCAGATTCTGTGCAGAACTACTACTATATTCTACATTTTATCATTATTTTCTTTGTAACTTTCACTCCAACTTTGCATTCAATACTTTTAATTAATCACAATTGCCTAGTAATATTTAAAAGTAATGAATGTATTTTTGCACAGGAATACAAAATGCACGTCCCATTAAACAGCCTCCCCTTGAGAGCTCCCAAGTTTTTCAGCACCAAACCAGTGCCATTTCATTCCTGATACGGTACGTTCCCAAGCCAAAACCCTCCAGCACAGAAAAGCTGGGATGGAATTCCTCAACAGAAATCACCAGGAATGAGAGAAAATTGTAACAAGAGACTACACCAGTAAAATCAAACAGAACAGCTATATACTTGGTACAGCCAAAACAAACAAAGTAAAGTTCTCACTGTAGTCAATAGCTTTAACCTGTGCTTGGAAAACCACTTTCTGGTATTTATTAACACTGAACACTTCTATTAAAAATCCAGACCTTTTGCTCATTATATGAAAGTCTTAACAAGATGGAGAAGATTTCATTTACACTTCTAACGCGACTCAGGTCCACACTGCTGTTGTACAGCAAGGCAGGCTCCAAGCTTCTCACAAACCAAGCGAACTCACAGATGAGCCTCCTATTTTTGCCCCATATGGTCCTGCTCTGAAAGCCCACGTCGCTCACTACCTGCTAACACAAGTGCCATACGGACCACTTCTTTTCCACCCTCACCAGAAATCTGTGAAAATAGGTATGCAGAACCCCTGTAGGACAGCTACAGAGACATTTTAAGAGAACTAACCTGTGGTATTTTAATCCGTTGGAGGTCACCCAGCTCTGAACTTCCCCAGCAGCTTCAGTCTCGTTTCCTGTAGAGTGGCATGTGACACCAACACTTCCTCACCGCACCTTGCTAGACTCGCTTCGCTTACTTTTAAAAACCAGATGAAGAAACTAACTGTCCCTTACAGCATGTTTAAGAGCTTTCTGCTCTCATGTTGAACCACTGACATTTCTGCATAGCCAAAGAACCCTCCTCTATTGCCTTCTGAGTCACTCCATGATTCAATGGACCTTTTTGTACTATTTCTTTGTATTAATACCAAATGCTGAATGTGATTCTGTTACAGTATGCTCAGTGCTCCCCCCTCTTCTTTTAAAGGGGAAACGAATACAATAGTGGAGAACGTAATTACGCTGCAGGCGTGGGAATTTCAGTTCAAGGATATTTGTTTATCACATTTTCAGAGTGGTAATGAATCGATGTATTTGAATAGATGCAGTTATCAGCAACTTTCAGAAATATTTTTCATTTGAATGTGGCAAACAGCTTTCACAGGAGTCTAAGTCCTGTGAAAAATAGTTTACAACTTCAGAAGAGTAGAGGTTCTCTTCTCAGTTGTAGCAGTGTGCATCCACATATCATCATCTAGGGATGGGACAAACAGGCCAGAACGTAATGTCACAAAAGGAAGGACAGTAAAGTCCTGGATTAGAAGAGTATGTTTACAGGATTAGTCAATAGGTGGTGCTTTAGCAGAATTTTTTTTTAAAGACACGTGAATTTTGGAAAGGCAATCTAATCTTAAATGGTACCAACACCAGAAATGCTGACACAGCCTGGAGATAGCCTGAAGACTACCATGCCAGGGGAGAGGCAGAATGGTCTTACCAAGGTCAGCAAGGAGATACTGCTCTGCTGGAAGATGCTCCTTGTGCAGCACGTTAAACACCCTCCAATTAGGCTAAGGGAGGGGGCAGAGATCAATTAAATGTCCCTTTATTTAGTGAGAGCTGAAATAACAGCCAATGCCTGGGGCGCTGACCTGGCGAGGCCTGGGTGAAGGCGGATGGGTCACACAGCCAGAGGGGTTCCCTGGAGACTGACTGCAAACAGCTGGGCTGGGGCACTGATTGGATTTAGCTGCACCTAAGCGTGGGCGTGAAGTACCTGAAGGCAGGAAGAGTGAACAAACAGACAGTGGTGCTGCACATTTGGGATGCAAAGCTTTCAGCAGCAACGCTCATTTATGGCTGTCCTCCCACTGCCATTCATTTCTCCCACGGCTGTCTCAGGTGCGTTGGCACAGTGGTTCCACAGCCTGTGCCATGGACCGTATCAAGGAACTGATCTAGTATTCAAAAGTTGATTAGTTTTTTTCTTTTTCTCGCTCTCAGGCAGCAGGGGACAGCTGCTAGCCTGAAGCTGGCTCTGTTGTTACCCAGGCTGTAGCGCAAAACCACAGTTTACGGTGAGAGGCCCAGAGCAAACCAATGGGAGCTTCTTGTTTGCCCATTGGTTGATGCATTCTATGTAATTTGTACGTAAATTAAGAGGTTTCCACTAAAAATGTCATCTTTTAAATTAAGCTGTGCCAGATGAAGACATCAGTGCCGTGAGCAGCCTCCCGGTGACCACCAGCCAGGGATTACCTCCCCATCTGCTGCCTCAGGGCTTCATACCACTGCTCATCAGTTTACTGCTATCAAATGAGCCAAATTAGCTCCAATAATTTTTATCGGTGGCTTAAAGTAATCTGACTGATCCTGCTGGAAATCAAGTGGCAATGGTTTTGAGGATGCCTCCTACCCACAGAGATGTGGAAGTAGTGACCTTTGGCAAAGAAGCAGCGACAAACAACAGGATTTCACAGAGCAGCAGCCGAGTATTGAACGAATCACACCCATCTAATAAGAGATGTAAGCATTTTATGTGTAAACATACAGAGGATACCCACACAAAAGGAAATACATGCGCGACTGAAAAAAAGACTAGTCCACAAAATGGATGCTTTTGCATCAGACTCTTTTTGGGTGCACGCACGCCTACTTGTGCACGCACGCCTGAGCTCCCGCAGTTGTAGCAGGAGCTCATGTGCGAACACATGTCCGCAGATGCACCTGCTCTGCCCCCATTTAAAGTTTTGGGCCAAATGGCCAAGGTATTATTTACACTGGAGGACACTTGAGAGCACCACGAGATGCATGCGGCTTAAGCGTTTTCCCCTCGGTAAGCGTGCAGAGACACGATACGCCGGACACCGAGCTTCAGAGGCGCCGAGGGGAAGTTGAAGAGTTCAGGAAGCGGCCATGTTTGCTCTCAGCACACTGCCTCTTTGTCCTCCCCCAGCTGCTCGCCCAGCGGCTTTCAGGCAGCCCGAATCCCTCACAAGAGATGGGTTATTTCTCTCCATTTTAAGAAGCGGCTACGTTTACAAAGCCACTTTTAATGTGTCAACCGCCGTGCGAGGATCTAGCCGCGTATATTGGGCCGTGCCGGAGCGGTGCTGGGAGTCGCCGGTGGGGGAAATGCGCTTTATATCCCCCCTGATACCCGGGGTTGTTCAAGACGGGAGGAATTTGTTCGCCCAGCAGGTAACTCGCAGCAGTCTCCCAGATGCTTTTAAGCTATGCCCAAGGAAAACGGCCTCCCAGGGTGTTGCTTCAGCCAAGTTCAGAGTGCAGCAGCACCTCGGCATGCCCGCCGGCGGGGCGACGGAGAAGGCACTGCGGGGACAGCAAAGGCAGCTGCGTGACACCGGGGGGACTTGCCGTGTCCAGAGAGCTCTCACGCAGCGAGGTTTGCTGAGCCACCACGGACGCCAGAGGATGTCAGCTCTGACCACGGAGCATTAAGACATGAAGGGAAACATCTGAAGCCTGATAAATTCTGTCCTCTGTAAACAAACCACTTCTTTCTCCATCCTTGTCACAGATGAGGAGTCTGTTGACTGACACCTTCCAGAGGACCAAAGCCTCAACAGGATTTTTGGCAGTAATCTTACGTGATAAGCCAACTGCTTGTAACTAATGCTGTATCTCACCTTGTATATACAGAAGACAAAACCATCTCTTTGTCTTCTTCTGAGGGGAAAGCATACCTGAAGCTCTTCCTTATGTACACCTGGGTACGTAATGAAGGCATGTGCTAGTAACCCTGCAGATGGCACAAGTTGTTTTTAAGACTGTCAGTTGACTTCCCCTCATTTGCCATGAGATCAAACAGCATTTGATTTATGGATAAAGGACCACCCCGGCAGCAATAACAAGTTGCACAGTGGCCTGATAGATAAGCTACACAGGGATGTTAATAGACACAGCTGCAAAGCTATTTACACAATAATTTGCTGTCTTGTGCTATGGGGATGAAAAGACAATCATGGGCTCTGAGGTTTTTTTGGTTTAGATTAGAAACGTGCCCTACCCTACACCCACACCTTTGAGTATACTGGACATGGTGATCCAGGCTAATGGAGCATGCTGAATCCCAGCATTCAAAACCCACTCATAAGACCTGCCTTATAAAAATGGGCCGTATTTATTCATTATATGGAAACTCACCCCCTTCACCAATATGGCTAAGAGTATACGCACACACACAGAATAGTGGGTATGGTGGGGACTGTTTTCTATCTGGTACCTGTCACCAGCAAATATGAGCAATTAAGATCTCAGTGATTGGGCAAAACAATCTGTACTCCTGACCTCGAGCAGGAACAACACATGCGAGTGCAAGAGTAAGCCATCGTGCGGAGCTGCTAATACGCAACTACAACCTCTCCCCCCAACCCCCAAATCTGTCAAATCACCAGAGCCAGGCACTAATACAGAGGTGTTCAAACTTCAAAGCAGGAGCACAGTCGGCAAGAGTTTGTTGAAAGAATTACAACCAGGCATGGAAACTGGGACTTCTCAGTAGCATATAATCCCTGCTGTTTCCATTTCCTCTTGCTCATTATCGGCACAGACGGGGGCTGAAGATTAGTAAACAGTGGGTGTTTGGGGTGAATTAGAGCATGTGTGATGTAGAGCTAGGTATCCTGGTGGCATCCGTGTGACTTCGTAGAGAGATGTAAATATTTAATGTTGCCCACTATGTTTCTTCAGAATGATGAAATATTAACACGTTCCTTGGAGGTGGGAGAATCATACCAGATAAAACAGAGAATCTATCTTGTCCTACATCTAGGATGTGAACAATATCTGATGGTCAAAAATCTTCTGGCAAATTCCCCCTCTGTAGTCACATGTGTGTTGAAGACGAAGAGTTTTCACACTGCTCCAGTCCTATCTGAAACCAGGAAAAAAAACCCCAAACCAACAAACTCTGGGACAAAACCCTTTACACAGCTACGTGTGTATGAGACGTTACATTTTCAGCTATCACCCTTGTTTTTAGCCACAGGTTACCCTTTCAGAGGACAGCCACCTAAATAAAAGCCATTACTAAGAAAATGTAATATGCCTAGAAACACCTACATATTTCTTGAGTGAAAACTGCTGAACTGACAAACCTTGCTCTCAGAAAGTTACTTGTCCTCCCTGCCCCAATAATATAGACATTAACAAACTCCTGAAGAAAAGTTCTGCACTGCATGTGTATTATGATATATATCATAGGATATATTTCTAAAAGGAGAACTCTATCTTTGTGGAAGTCTCTTCGCATCATTATAGATATTTCTAATAACCTTAATATGTTCTCAGGAAGCAAAAAGGAAGTTTTATTAAAAGGAACGGTGCTGGTCTTTTCTTACAATACTTAATTTCACATAAAACCTGGTTTCTTAGTTTGTAGCTTTTTTATACAACAACTTGAGACACAGTTTCTCTTTGACCTGATCAAAGAATATGGGATTACTCAATAGGTCCACCAACATAAGAAACAGTGTATGCTATCTTTCCAAAGAGTTTTTCAACACTTTTTGCCCAGTAAAAACTGCCTGGCTGTTTTTCTAGACCAGTGTTTGTTATACTTTGCCAATGGCACGTCTAGTCTTCAAGTACATTTTTCAATACATGAGCATTGCTATGATGGCGATATTAAAAGATATTTATTATTGAGCAATTTGTCTTTAGCTATTAG